TGTGGTATGCGGGCCTCTCACTGTTGTGGCCTCTCCCATTGCGGAGCACAGACTCCGGACGCACAGGCTCAGCGGCCATGGCTCACGGGCCCAGCTGCTCTGCAGCATGTGGGATCTTCCCGTACCGGGGCACGAACCCGCGTCCCCTGCATCGGCAGGCGGACTCTCAACCACTGCGCCACCAGGGAAGCCCCAGTCATTACTTTTATTATGAATTTAAAACATTTTTTCCCTAGGTGTTCTAAAGAGTGGAATGTCAGATTTCTAATGCCAAATTGTGACTCACTGTATTCTTTTTAAGAACTTGCTATAAATTTTATTTGTTCTAAGTGCTGAGGTAGCCAGTTTTATCATATGCATTATTTGGTTTCTTACACATAACTAATCTTATAAGTTGACTTTGATCTCTCAAGAGGGTAACATTATCAGCTACCCTCCTCCTCTTTTATCTTCAGTAAGTTGCTTATTAGCCTTCTAGTGCGGTGTTCTGTACTTGGTAGGCATACAGTACACTTCGGATGAAGTGGTTTGTTTTAGGGCCAAATTTTGCTGGAATTAAGTAGGGTGGAATGCAATGGATGTAGAAACTTTCTGAAAAAAGTTCAGCCTTCCTTTATGGTTCTTTATTTTTATATATTATTCCAGGTATATGAAATAGTTAATTCAGAGGCTGAAATTATATATACTTGTAATCCACAACCTGGATATAAGTACAGTTTTATTGTTAAACCGGCCTTTCTCTTGGATCCACTTCTGGTCTATGTCCCCATCACCAGAAATGCTTAGTTGAGGGGGAACAGGAACCTATTACTCTTAGCTTGGCAGAAGAAGGAAACCAACCCGTATAGAATATCTCCTATGTGTCAGACACCTTGCTAGGCACAAGTGTTATCTCATCATAGCAATAGCTCCTCTTCAAAATTTTGAGAGACTTCAAGAAGTTATATGTAATTTGCCCAAGATCAGTTATATAGTGAGGGATGGAATGAGATTTGTCTCCTAGCAACCTACTAAGCGTGGCAAGATGATGCGGCCCATTTTTCATTGATCACATTTTTGAGACTACCATTGTAAAAGCCAGTCACTACATTTCTATAAGTTCCTCAAATTTTTAGAGTTATTCAGTTTGTAATTTAGACTTAACTCTCTCCAGCACTCACTTTTTTGGGTGTTTGATTTCCTCTTACTTTTTAACAGAAAGCTTCATTTCTTTTCTGCCTTGGTGATGTGAATTTCCTCAGGCAATTCAAGAGCCTAGGACCTTAGTTCAAATCCCAGGCTTTATAAAACTTAAAGAGGTAAATTACATGTGAAAGCACATTGTGTAAACCATAAAGCATGATTAAAATCATGAGCTATTTTTAATTCTGTTGACCAAATAGCGTATTCATAAGGCATGAAGTATAAACTTAAAACACACATGGGAAAAAAAAACAAACACACATGGTATACATAACTGTATAATAATATATTTTTATGTACTTCATGTTAGACTTCATGAACAAACTGTTGTTATACTTTTATTTAAATTCATCTATCTAGCTTGAGAATGGAATTCTAAAACTCAATATTTCTAAATGTACCTGAAAAGACAATTACTTTGAAACTTAGAAATTATAGTTGTAACAAATGAAAGGTGGTATATTACGAGTTTAAGAAAGTGATTATCCAAATTATGGGAAGCATTCTCATTTACAAGCAAAATGTCTCTCCTGGCATTCAGTGCTGTACAATGATAGCATGGTGAGCTTGTAATTTGTCTCTGCCACATGCTTGTATGATCTGGTATGCGGTAGGACCATCCTCTTCACAGGGACTCACCCACCAATTAGGATAGAAAATGTTCTTGACACAAGTCATTTCCGCTTTATCTTGGGGCTGCCTGCTTTAAGGAAATGGCCATCCTGAGAATGTTTTATCGACCACAAGCCAGTCAAACATTCTGCTGGCAAGTTTTAAATGTGTCATGATGGCTGTGGAGTGTGCCATGCCTCAGCTTTGGGAATCTGATTAAAGAAGGGATGCTCAAATAAGAAAAAATAAGTTTATGGGTAAAACACGTCTCAAACCCATTACCCAAGAACAGACACTTTACTGCCATATTTGTCTGAAAAAGAAGTGAATGCAAAAAGGACTAACTGGTATCCTTTCTGTGACTGGAATTTTTTTTCCCTGTAATTAAACTTCAGAAAGGCACAAGTATGAGAAAGTGAAACACATGCGTTGTTTCTAACTACTTCCTCCTTTTATCATGAAATAAGTACTTAAAAAAAAAAACATGTTATAATGATGACAAAACATTATTATTTTCTTTAGAGTTTTAGGTGCCTCTTTGGTGATGCTATCCCTTTTTTTTTTTTTTTCTTTGTCTTGAAGTATCTTCTGTTCTTACTCCTCATCCTTAAAGAAGATTATCCTTTAGAAAAGAGAAATGAATATAAGAAACCTAGTGTTAGGTTCAGCTGGAAAGGTTTCAAAGTTCGGCTTATGTTTAATGGTATACTTTGATAATACTATCCAGTTACAGAATAGTACTCTCTTGATAGTAAGGACTCAGTCTAGTATGCAGGGATACCTTCTAAAAAGAGCAAAGAAACAAACTGTACTTTGTACAAAATGCACTTTGACCCACAAACTGAAAATAGTAGAAAGAATTAATAGCAGCATGAAAATTTCCAGTAAAACTTGTTTGAGGGTTAGCTTGGGGAGAAGTGTCTTATAGTAGTAGATCAGAGTGACTGAATTACTTAGTGTAAAACAAAACTAAAGTGATAATTGTGTAATTAAGGTTTTCTACTAAAATGGGATGATTAGAAGGAAGTGAACAGGACAGTAATGAGGGGTCATAAATTAAAGGAAGGACTGGAAAATCGGAAAAGGTTTAATAGAAAGAAACAGGAGATGCCGAAATTTACATTTGCAGTCTTCAGTTTGTTGGATATTCACTTGAGAATGGATTAAGGAAAAATTACTAAGAAAAGTAACCGTCTGGGGCTTCCCTGGTGGCGCAGTGGTTGAGAGTCCCCACATGCCGTGGAGCAGCTGGGCCCGTGAGCCATGGCCGCTGAGCCTGCATCTCTGGAGCCTGTGCTCTGCAACGGGAGAGGCCACAACAGTGAGAGGCCCGCGTACCACAAAAAAAAAAAAGTAACCATCCAAAAATCATAGAAATCTTTTCTCCTCTTTAGGAGGCCACGGGAGTGTATATAATTTGTTAATATTGCTTTTGTGGGGAAGGGGAGGAAGGAGACAGATGATTTAAAAGGAGAGAGGTCGTTCTCACTCTCACTCCATTCGTGTTAAGAATCGGAAATAAATCTTGTTCAAACTATTTTAAAGGATATTCAAGATTCCTATGACTGTTAGAGACATGATCTTTAAAAAGAAACAAATAAGCAATATGCTATAGTGCAGCGCTTCCCAACCAGAGGGATTTTGCCCGCCAGGGGACATTTGGCAATGTCTACAGACATTTTTTTTTTTTAGACTTTTAATTTATTTATTTATTTATTTATTTTTGGCTGTGTTGGGTCTTCGTTTCTGTGCGAGGGCTTTCTCTAGTTGTGGTGAGTGGGGGCCACTCTCCATTGCGGTGCGCAGGCCTATCACTGTCATGGCCTCTCTTGTTGCGGAGCACAGGCTCCAGACACGCAGGCTCAGTAGTCATGGCTCATGGGCCTAGTTGTTTCGCGGCATGTGGGATCTTCCCAGACCAGGGCTCGGACCCGTGTCCCCTGCATTGGCAGGCAGATTCTCAACCACTGCGCCACCAGGGAAGCCCGACATTTTTAATATTGTCTTGACTTGGGACGTGCTACTGGCATCTGGTGGGTAGGCCAGGGATGCTGCTAAACATCGTACAATGCACAAGATAGCCTCTCAAAACCAAGAATTGTCTGGCTATTGTCAGTAGTGCCAAGGTTGACAAATCCTGGTGTAGTGGAAATAGCATGGCTCTGGAATCTGACAGAAATGGGTCTGCATCCTAGCTCTAATCCTTATTAGCTATGTGACCTTCAGGATATACATTATGATATATCAAAAATGTGTAAAGGGGCTTTCCTCGTGGCACAGTGGTTGAGAGTCCACCTGCTGATGCAGGGGACACGGGTTCGTGCCCCAGTCCGGGAAGATCCCACATGCCGCGGAGCAGCTAGGCCCGTGAGCCATGGCCGCTGAGCCTGCGCGTCCGGAGCCTGTGCTCCACAACGGGAGAGGCCACAACAGTGAGAGGCCCAATTCCCTTAAGTCTCAATTTCTTCATCTATAAAATGGTGGTGTTAACAAACTACCTTATGAGTGAATAGAATGAATAAGTGAATGAGATGGTTTGTAAGATTAGAGATAATATAAAGAGTACCCAACTCAGTGCCTGGTACATGTGAGTGTTCAGGAAATGGTAATTAAATTGATGGTGAAAGTGAGAAATAAAATTATGCCAGAGGGTCCTTCTGCTTTGCCTGAAAGTTTCTCTTCCACGAATCTGGTTACCTGAGTTCTGTTCCCCAACCCAAATCAGGTTACACGACAGATCCATGAGCATGAGCAGGAGAACGAGTTGCGGGAACAGATGTCAGGTTATAAGCGGATGCGGCGCCAGCACCAGAAGCAGCTGATCGCCCTGGAGAATAAGCTGAAGGCTGAGATGGACGAGCACCGCCTCAAGCTACAGAAGGAGGTGGAGACACATGCCAACAACTCGTCCATCGAGCTGGAGAAGCTGGCCAAGAAGCAAGTGGCTATCATAGAAAAGGAGGTCAGTATGCGCACACATGCCCTCCTGCCACAGCCAAGCCAAGCCTGTTCCAGTCCGCAGCGTCCTGCGATCTGGAGGCGGGAGTGGTGTGCTTTTTGGGGATGGAGAGACAGTACTGCTTTGGGGAAGGGGGTCCAGGTTTTATGGGGCTACTTAAAATTGTCATTAAAAGTTAAGAGAGTAACTGAAAGTATATATTGCATTCTTGTCCATTCAGATATATTCTGAGCATCATTCCCCTGATGGGGGTGTGATACACATAAAAAGAACCAACATGCTTCTATCCTATGGAAACTTGGACCACTCAGGTCTGTTACTGTGCCTGCCTCACCCACAGTCCTCTTCAAAAGAAAACTGCTCTACAAATAGTCCCTTTCAGTGGCAATAATCCCTGCCTACAGCTGATTGGACTAGGGATGGGCACCTGACCAATGGCAGCAAGTAATTGATCTGGCTACTGCTTGGGTCTTCTAGGGACCATCTCTCTTTCCCATCCAGGTTCTACTAATTTTAAAAACAGACAAGAAGGTAATGGAGATTGAGTCAAAATATCACTTTATTACTGATAAATATTAGATAGGAGAAGTGATTTATATCTGAATGGAAACAGGCCTAATAATACCGAACAAAATTAAACAGACTTGCCCACCTAGGCACTGGCAGTGCTAAACCAGTCGCCTTCCCCATCCCCACCCCCGATGAGACTTACATAGTATGGAAAAGCAGGAGTGAATTTGTGCTCCCTGGGGATGGAGTGGCTGGGGCAGGGTGCCCGAGTGTTTCAGTAATTACGCTCTCTCTCTCTCTCTCTACGTGGAAGGGAACATCAGAATTGTAGAAGCATTGCCCCAAACAGCCATCAATCTATGAGGCAGTCTGGCATGAAAACCTCTGCCCAAACAGGGGCGATGTTGATTAAATAAACCAGTCAGAGTCTTTCCTGGGAATTTGATTTGGTAAATATGTGGAAAGAATTGTTCATAATGGAAGAGTTGTTGATAATAGAAGCTAAAGGTGAAAAGATCCATAGAAAGAACCATAAAGCATACTTCTCTCTCTGTTCCCTAAGTATCTCATCGTACATATGTGCTTCGTCTAGATGGTTCCCTGAAACTTAGATTTGGTCGCTTTCTTTTGATTGGGTCATCTTTTGTTTGGTCTGTTTTCTATCCATTTAGGAGCCCCCAAAATGTCCTGATATCCAACTATTGTGGATTATAGCAGTTGCCTCAGGAAGCAAAATGTCATTAACTTTGCCTATTATACTAAAGATGACCCCATTCAAAAATCTGATAGTTGAAATAACCAATTAGAGAGTTAAATTCTTGGAAAAAAACTGGCCAGTCATCGTTATTTATCCATTTTTATAATTTAACCCTTAGGCCACCAACAATTTGATAAAAATCTTTTATTATAATCCTTAGTTCACCTTTCATACCATGTATTTTGTATGTGTTCAATAAAACATGTTTATGGTTTACCTTCATGTTTTTCCCATAATTGGGAATATATTTTTCACTGGTAAAAATTTCCATTTTTTTTTCTTGTCTGTTTTAAGATACAGGAGAATCAAAACAGGCTTTTACTTATCTGTGTTTTCATTGTTTGTTCAAAAATACTTTTGGACTCTTTTAATGCATTCGAGAATATAGATAGCTGAATTCTGTGTGAAGAACAATTCATCCTATATTACATTTGTTACTTTATCAGGCAAAGGTAGCTGCAGCAGATGAGAAGAAGTTCCAGCAGCAGATCTTGGCCCAGCAGAAGAAAGACTTGACAACTTTCTTAGAAAGTCAGAAGAAGCAGTATAAGATTTGTAAGGAAAAAATAAAAGAGGTAAGAATACCGATAGTTTGTAGTCATCAAGTTGCCATTGGAATGGCTAGAACTTAAAATTGCTTCGTCTTACATTGTGATCAATAGTGTAACCCATTGATTCTCAAACTTTCCAGTAGAATCACCTGAAGTGGTTATTAAAACAGATTGCTAACCCACCACTAAATTTTCTGATTCAGTGGATCTGGGGTGAAGTTTGAAATGTGCATTTCTAACAAGTTCCCACGTGATGCTGATGGCGCTGGTCCACGCACCACACTTCAGAAACCATTGGCCTAACTCTGAACTATTCTTGCCTACTTCTGGTTTGTTCTCCACACTTCAGCCAGTGGTCTTTTCAAACCATGAGTCTCATCATATCACTTCATGATTTTAATATTCATTGGCTTCCCATTGCGCTTAGGATAGATCAAAATACTAGAAGTCCATATGCGGTCAGCTACCCGCCTCCCCTCCACTCTCGTCTCACACCAACGTTCCCCCCACCTGCTTACCCTGCCCCTGACTTAGTGCTGCTTCTGCCACTGTGGTCGCTTTTGGCTCCTCAAACGCATCAAGCTCTGACCTTCTCCATGGTCTTTGCTCTCACTCTTCCTTCCACCAGGGTGCTCTCCCCACCCCCACTTCCAGTCCCTTCCCAACCTCCTTTTAAGACTAAGGATTGCTTATTAGTACCATAACTTAAATTTCACTTCCCCAGGGAAGCCTTTGCTTGACTGCCTTGACCAAGACAGGTGCTTCTGGTTTTACAACACTAATTTTCAATCATATATCTATGATTGGAAAAAATATATATATTTTTTTAGTGATTATTTGAGCTATTTTACCCTACTAGATAGTAAGCAGTAAGAGAAAAGACCATGTCTTTTTTTTTTTTTCTTGGCTCGTGACTGTATCCCTGTGTCTGGTACATGTGAATATTCGATAAATGAGTGACTAATTCTTGAATGTTTGGTTGACGACCTCTAGTGGACTTAGAAAGTCCCCTTGAAGAATTGCAGTTTGATCTTAAAGCTCAAATTTCTTCACTTCTCCTTTTACCAGTACTTACAGGTGAATTGCCTGTAGTTCCATAGACTTTCCTTCTCATGAGACTTAGGACTTCTTATTTGTGGACTAGTAGTGTATTAAGGTTTAATAGCATTCAGATGGGACATTGATTTAATGTATGAAATCATTCATTTGAGCTCATATTCTAAGTTAACAATATGGGACTTAGCAAGATTCCTCTCCAATTCTTTTTTAATTAGGAAGTGAAAGCAAGCGGGTTGGGGTGAGCCTCAGGATCTTTTGCCCTGCCCAGATGAATCACTGGTAATTGTTGGAACCAACAGAAATTTGTATCTGCTCCACACTGCCAGAATGGAAAGAATCTCTGACACTGTAAGGTCTAGAAAACCAGGTTGTAGAGAAAAATAGCCAAACCAAGAAGACTCACATGCTCTCCATTTTCTTTTAGTTATTGTTTGATCTTGATTATTATATCATAATAGAAAGATGTTGCTGGATCACAGAGATAACCTTGATTTTTCAATAAGAAATTTTGGAATTTTCTCAACTGAAGATTTTCTTATTTCTAACTCCATGTGTTCACTCATGCTCTGGAGGCCATACTTTATGGCTGCAACCACTATTTTGAGCGTTTGTACCACTAAGGTATTTGGAGATTTGCATGAACTCCATCTTTAGAAGGTTTTCCCACAGAACAGCATTCAAAAGTCCCCGCTCTGTCCTCAGGAATAGGGCTATTTTTGGTTCACCATACTCAGTTTTATGAGTTTTAGAGACCACAGGCCTAAATGTACAAGACTTTCAACATGCTCATGGAGAAAAACAAGCCTACACCCAATTTAAGATCGCCTCTATAAGCCTTTCTATGCAAAGCTAGTATTACAACTTATGAAGTAAAGCTTAGTTCAGACTATTGAAAATGGCATGTATGTTTAGATATTGATATAAAAGATATCGTCCTTGGGATGACAAAACAATATCCGTTACCCCTACTGTTGATAGATAACAGGGGCGTGGGCAATACAGAATGATGAATGGTCCAGAAATAATTTATCCTTGATTTTGGAGTGAATTTTTATGATCGTATTTGAATTTGGGTGTGCAACATAGTGGTTAATGCCAAACCTAGGATTGAAGTCATGGCATCAAGAGATGAGTCCGCCAGCCTTCCTGTGCTGATCCCAGCTTACTCCATGCTGCAGACAGCTCTTGCTCTCATTGATTCTAATATTTCACTTGAGATTTCACTGGAACAGGAAAGTTGGATGCTGATTTACAAAGACTTCTTGGCTAAGTGCAAAAACAATCTAAGTAGTGTGTGATGGCCACATCACAAAACATCAAGTAAAATAGCTATTAGTAATTAAAGGAGATTTCAACTGAGTAGTTAACCAAGTATTATAGGTCCAGCTTGTGGGTGTGAACAGTATGAACAAAGAAGGGTGCCCTGTACTTTCTCTAAAAGTGGTCTTCTTACTTTCCCCATAGACTAACATCTTCTTAACTGTTCTGATTTATTGCTTTCTTCCCTTTACCCATATGGTCTGAAACAATTATGAACTTTCTCCTTTTGAAAATATAGGTGGTGTATTTACCCTCTAATATCAAATAAAGAATGCTCATTCCTGAAATTCAAACTAGTGACATTTGCAGCATTACCTCCTGTCTGTGACATCTGCCTACTTCTCTCCATCTTGTCACCACCTCCTCTGTCTAAGCCCCGATCGTCTCTCGCCTGGACCTTTGTAATAGCTTCCTAGCTGTCTCCGTGGACGTGCTCTTGCCTCCTTCATCCTGTTCTCCATGTGGCAGCCAGAATCGTCTTTTTCGAATACACCTCGTTATGACACCCCCACACGTATATAAAATGCGTTTCCCCTGTGCCGAAACTCAGCGCCCTTGACCTGGACTGTAAGGTCCGGTAGCGGTCCTGCCTGCCTGTCCAGCCTCATCTCATGTCACGCTGCACCACCCACCCTGGCCTTCTGTCGGTTCCTTGATCGTACCATGTTTCCATTAACCCACCCGAAGGGTTTTGCTCAGGCTGTTTCCTCTGCCCAGAGTATTCTTCCCTCTCCTTTCTCGCTGGTTAATTCCTACAGATTTTTCAAATTTCAGCTTAGCTGTTACCAAGATCAAATATTTTTTATTCAGCATCCTTTGAACCAAGTACTTCAGCTGCACGGTAGTTATCACGGTAATCTTCAGTTCGTTTCTGTGGTTCTTTGATTGATTTTTGATTCTAGACTGTAAAGCCCCATGGTGGCAGATACCATATTCTTTTGCTAATCATTGTATCCTTGTGCCTTGCACAGTGCCTGTTGCAAGATAGGAACTCAATAAGTGTGTGTTGATTTAATGAGTGAACTCATAATTTCTGAGCATGAGAAGCCAAAGACATGAAAACTAACAAGTCTCCCTCTCAATTGATAAGAAAAAAGGGAGGTGGGGGGGAGTGTGTGTGCAACACCAAGCGTTTCTGACCTTACATTCTCAGTTGCTTTCAAAATAATTTAATCTGCATTGCAATGAACTGTTGTTATATTTCTTTTTGCCTGATGAGACTGGCATGTTCTTTGGGGTTTTGTTTTTGTCTGCTTTTGTAAAGGAGATGAATGAGGACCATAGCACACCCAAGAAAGAAAAGCAGGAGCGGATATCCAAGCATAAAGAGAACTTGCAGCACACACAGGCTGAAGAGGAAGCCCACCTTCTCACTCAGCAGAGACTGTACTACGATAAAAACTGTCGTTTCTTCAAGAGGAAAATAATGATCAAGCGGCATGAGGTGGAGCAGCAGAACATTCGGGAGGTATTTATTTTGTTCATAACCACTGTCACTGACTTAAAAAGCAGTAAGCTTTGTGAGGATCATGACTATGTCTGTCTTGTCCATTCCTATATCCTTAACCTGTACAGGCATCAGTGCAGTCTGTGCCAGACACAAAGTAGGTACACAAAAGTGCCAGGGAATGAATTTACCACTGATAAGAGAAAGCCCATTTATAGAACAAGGAATCAACCTTTTCCAAGTAAACGTAATAGAGTTTTCTCGAACACCTATTATAAGCCATAGCATGCAGTGGAGAATCAAAAGAAGTAGAATAGAGAATTTTTGCTTTTAGCCTGTTTGTCAAAGACTTGCGTTTTTGTGACTCTCCATGAAACAAATAACATAATGGTGCTCTACAGTTATGTTAATTCATTCCGTCATCCAGCACTTACGGAGTGCCTTCTTTGTGCCAGGCACTGTGCTAGAGATGCCAGGGCTATTGAGAAGCCATCCTCCCTGCCTTCAAGTAGCCCTAAGTCTAAGAGGGGAAACAGACATGTAACAGACTAATTACAATGTAATATGTTAGGTTTAGTAATAGATATAAACTCTCACAGGCATATAGTCATGAAAGGGCTTGGAGGATTCCGTGATTGATGGGGAGTTGAGTGTTCTGGGAGTGTGGAGTGGAGTGTCAGAACAGGAGTAGTGGGAAGCAGGATGGAGGGCCTTGATTCTTAAGGCAAGACTTTTAGATTTCTGCCTGAAGGCAGTTGCATGGGCATGAGAGGGTTTTAAGCAGAGGTATGACAATGAGAGTTCTTTGTTTTGAAGAATTATTGCCTCAGTGTGAGGGTAGCCTAGAGTGGTGAGAAGGAAAGTACACTGAGGTCAGTTAGGGATGCCCTTTCTCTAGTTCCACCTGGAAGAAGCAGTGAGGATAGAGATTAGATCTGAGTGACATTTCTGAAGCAGAACTGACAGTAATTCAAACCAAATGCTGTGAGAATTTCAGAAGAAGGAGGAGTCAAAAATGAATTCAGAGTTTCTAATTTGGGAAATTGGACGAATATGATGTTATTCACTGAGATGAGGAATACAGAATGTGACTCGGTTGCAGATGCAAAGTTCAGTAGGAAATCATTGTGACCTGGAGTAATCCGAGAAGCCCTCAAATGAGCTAGCACACTGGTAGAAACATCAAAGTTGGATAAATATCAAGTGTTAGCCTGCATGAGGGAAACAAGGCCTTCAGGCACATTTAATGGGAATGTGAATTGGTGTAAGCTTTTTGGAGAGCAGTATTCAAATGGGAGGAAAAAAGGGTGGAGCAAACTAAAATTTATTGAACACATGTAATCATGGGCCAGGCTCAGGCTCTATCTGTGTTATCTCATCTTATTGGAAGAGAAAGAAACTAAACATTTTCAAGCCAGGCAGTGAGTGATATGGCTAAAATTCTACTTTACAGAGATTAGCCCAGTTTGGTGGTGATGCACAGATTGATTAGAGCCTGCATTGTCAATGGGGGCAATATTGCCCCCCCCAGGGGGGCCGTTAAAAATGGGTTCTTGTGGGGGAGGGGGTCCTTAGGTATTATAGTGTCTTCTGCCCCTCTGAAGGGCCATAGTACATGAAAAGCTATACAGTGTATCTGTGGTGTTAACATTTCAGAGGTGAGGATGATCTGGGAAGGGGGAAGTTTAAAAAGGCTCCTGATGGGGACAGTAATAGGGGAAAAACAGGTTGAGAAACATCAGTTAGAGGGAAGAAACTAGAAGCAAAGAGATCAGGTGGTAGGAATAGGGTATAGACAAAGATAATGGTGGTAGCTGGCAAAAGAGAGATGGGTTTTAAACATTTTGAAGTATAAAATAAACAGGACTTGGCATACAACAGGATATGAGAGAAAAGATGAGGGTAGAATTAAAGTTATTTCTAGGGTTTAAGACTTGGGGAAATGTAGATTTGGGCAGAAACAGAGAAGCTTAGAGAGAGGTATTGATAAGAAACTGATTAATTCAGTACGACACAAGCTGAGTTTGTTAGAAGGCTAAAAAGTCCAAATCAAAAAGTCCAATAGCGAGTTGGAAACAAGGTATTTGGGATTCTTTTTCGTCTGGCAATTATTATTTTTATTCTAGTGTCATGTATCTGGAAGAAGTCCGAAGCTAAGGGGGCAATTAGTGCCAATAAAAGCTATATAAGATAATTATTCCCCAAAATGATAGAAACTACATTCATAACTTCGTAAGTATCAGGTTCTAACCAATGGAGTGAAGAATAACTAACTATACCAAGGTTTATTTCTTAAGAGTCTAGATTTTTTTCTTTGCTTAGTCTTATTCCAGAGCTGCCTCAGTGAAAATGTTCAAAGGTATTTTTCTCCTATTTACAAAAGTAATAAAAGAACATTGAAAAAAGACAAATATAGAAAAATACTCAGTAGTGAAAGGTGCTTGATAATCCCATCCCACCCATTTTCTACCCTGAGACAGTCACCATTAATTTGGCAGATATATTTCCAGATTTTTTCAGGTATGCATGTATATACACGTACAGCTTATATATTATATATAACTTTAACTTTACAAAAATAAGATTACATTAGTACCAGTGGGTTTATTTGATTTGCAAGCAATAGAAACAAACTCTGGCTGACGTAGCATGCAAAGGAATTTATTGGAAGGATATGGGCTGAAGACCCATAGCTGGAAAAGATGAAGAATCAAGCTGGGAAAGCAACTTCCGTGACCTAGAGGGCAAGAGCTAATGGACGTTCCTCAAGACCTTGCCATTTGGATGTACCTCCTCCAGCCATGTTTCATCTTTGTATCATTTCTGCTTAAGACTCAAATTCCTAGGAGAGATAGAACGTGATTGGGTAATGTGCTTATTCCCTTACTCAATAGTGTCTCTGATTCCAGATAGGGTGGAGTAGCTTCTCAAGCAAAAAGAGGAGCGTGTTAACAACAGAAGGGGAAATGGATACTGAACCTACAAAAATGTCCACTATACTGTTTCATAACTGTCTTCTTTTGTATTTTTTTCATTTACTATCTAAGACATATAACTCTGCCTCATTCTTTTTAACCATCAATAGTATTTGGTGTATTTAACCATCAATAGTAATTTATTTAATGAGGTACTTCTTGTTGGATACTTTGTTGAAGTTATGCAATATTACTAACAGTGCTACAGAGAACATCTTTGTATACATCTTTTTACATGTATGCAAGTACTTTGTAGCATATAGTATTCTCAGGAGTAGAATTTCTGGGTCAGAGTGTATATACCTAAATTTTTAATAGATATTGCCAAATTGCCCTAAGGGTTTATAACTCCCACCAGCAAAGACTACCTATTTTCCTCTACCTTTGCCAAAATTGAGTATTACCAGTCCTTTTTGTTAATGAAAACGTTTAAAAGCATCACCATAGGCTGAGTTGAGCCTCTTCTTCTATCATCACTACACACAGATGCTCACTATTTTCTAACCAGTTATACAACTAAGAACTGAAGCTAAGAAAGTATTAAATATCATACGCTAACAACATCTCCACTTAAATTTTGAATTCTAGTTTTTACTCAGTGTCAGTGGGCATGAACACAAAAATTTTGATTTGAGTCAGATCACTTGCTTTTAAAGAAGTCAGTAGTGCTTTCATTGAAACTTAAATAGAATGCTTGGATCGTGGTTGGGAAGGGTTTATTAGGGGATACACCCTGGTTCCACATCTTACGCAGGAGGTAGGTTCAAATGATGTGTATGGAAATGTGTTTCTTGGCCATGGTGTATGACCATGGCCATATGTTGTATGCATGTTTCAACCCTAAGCTCACACCCAGCCTGGCAAGATGCTCACCGTATGTGATGTGGGCAGGGGAACGTGAGCCACGTGCCTCTCATCTCACGCTCCCTCCAAGGCGTATATACATGGAATGCACTGGTGGGCAGAATCACCTGTACCATGAAATTTGTTTTTGTGTTTTTGCTCAACTCATTTTATTGAATGTGTATAAGCTAGAAGTGCATATGATGTGGCTCTACTGTATATTGTGTCATTTGTACAGATGAAGCAAACATTGCATGGTGTCCAGATAGAGCAGAAGAATTTTCTTCGGAATATACTATTCCAGACTGAAAAAACATAAGCCATTCATTTGAACATTTTTAGTGGAAAATCTTGAAAATCTAAAAACCTGAGTTTTAGCCTCAGTTCTACTTTACAGAAATTACATGATCTTGTGTTAGCCTCTCAATTCCCAAATGCCTTACTATCATATATAAAAGGGGTAAATCCTAACAATTCTTAACCACTGCATAGGGTTGCAACTAGGATTGAACAAGATATACGAAATCACTTTAAAAATTGAAAGCACATTACACATTATTATGTAGGTACAGCAATGGGCTCTTAATAAGCTGAATGATGTTTTTATCCCATGGTGTAAAATATTATAGGCAGCTTACCAACTTACATCTCAGCAACTCAGATGTATGAATTAAAGGTAATTAATTAAAGGTAATTTCTATTGCAATTGTAATAGAAAAACCATTTCAGTATCATGTTTCTGTCACTTTTTAAATAGTTTATAAAATCTAGATTTGTTATTATATGCCAGATATTCACTTCTGAATACAGAAAAATAATAATGACATTTATATATCCTGAAGCATTTTCTTATGGTCTTTTCTTTCATCTTCACAAGAATGGTAGTTCACAATGGGTACTACTGATATTATCTTCACTTTACACCTGAGGAAACTAAAATGTAGATTTAAAGTCTTGCCCAGTGCCATACGTAATGAGTCAGCGGAAAAGCTGAAACTGACTCACACCCTGAATTATTTTTCCATTGATTCTCAAACTTTAGTATATATCATAATTACCTGGATGGCATGTTATGAACTCTGGTTTCTTCCAGGTAATTCTGATGCAGGTATTCTTTGGTCAGCATCCTGAAGCATTCCATTAAACACAAAGAGAAGCATTCGTTTTCTTCTGAAAGTGTTGTTTGCTTTATATGTTTTTTACCCCCTGTGAGTTTCTGGGCTTTGGACAGCTCAGACTCAGTTTGAAATTCTCCATTTAGGAAAATGTGTGGAATGTATAAATGCCCAATATTGGGACTCCTGGTCCTCAGAGATTGAAAATGATAGGAGAGTGATCTAGGAACAGAATCTTCAGCCATTGAAAGGGCTTTCCTTGGTTTTAGTCTCTGAGAAGAGCTCACCATCCTTTGGTGCCACCTAGGGGCCAGTTAGTGATTTTTAAAAGAAGACATTTGATGGTCCAGGTAAGGAAGGAAAAGAAAAACGCAGGAGAGGATTGGGGGAGATCCTCTGGAGATTATCTTTTACTCCTTATAACAAATGAAATGGCATTTATACTTCAGATATTTCCCCACTAGAAAATAAGCCCTTGGTGGGGATGTACTTGTTCACTGCCCCATTCTTAGTGCTTAAAACAGTGCCTGACACATGGGAAGTATTCAACAAATGTTTGTTGAATGAATAAATAAATGAATGATTAACAACTTTGCTCCAGTAACAGATGCTGTGCTGTTTAAAGGACTTCTCTTCAAATGGATGGAAGGCTCAAATATGCAAGATATTCTCAACCATGCCAGTACACAAATGTTACTGATATCTCTATGAAAATGATCTTGCATTTTCCCCCATAGCAGATGCCATTGGAAAAGAGAGGCACCCTATTGTTCTGATTTAAAGTTCAGCTCAAGGGCTTTCTACTTTCCTTGCCCTTCTTAACTAGTAGTAATAACAGCCTTTTCGGAAATCTTACAGCATAAAATCTTCACCTCTTTTATATCACTTATCACTTCCAACCTTGCACTTTTTAAAAAAAATTTTACACATAAAACTTATTTCCCTGTATTAATCAAGCTTTTGTTTGCATGTTACTAAAATTTATTTGAGCTGGCTTAAACCAAAACCAGGGGGTTTGCTACAGAGATATAGGAATGTTTCATAAAACCCAGTAGCAGTCATATAGCTGGACCTACAAGGAGAGCTTAGAACCAGTCAGGAACTTGGGCATCAGTATATTCCCTGCACTTCTTTCTTTTTCATTCTTCTTGTTCTGAAGCCCAGCTTTCTCTAATCCTCAGCCCTCATAGCAACGGGTGGCTACCACATATGTCGTTTTTATGTGCCCCTCAATTCTAGCCACATGGAGATTAACTGTCCCTGAATCCAAATTCCCAGGAGACAAGATAGATTGATTCAGTTTGCTGTGAGCTGAGGATATACTTCAATAAATGTCTATTACAGTTCCCTGTTAAACAGAGTGTTAGCAAGTTGAGCACCGAGTGATGGCTTAGTAAATATTTTTATGTACCCAGAGCGCGCATGGTTCAGATCTTTGATATAGTGCCATTTAGGAAATATTCTTGAACTGGGGAATGAAAAAATTTCACCCAACTTCCTCCCTCTTTTTTTTTTTTTTCTGGTTTCCTTTCTTTCCCCCTTCGACAAAAGAGAGAGAAAGACATGAGTAAAACTGGGAGGAACAGAATGATTAGATCTAGAAATGACCAAACAGACGGTAATGGAAAAGATGAAAGGGGAGAGATCTCATCTGCTTTTTCCCAGTGAGCCCTGAACTCTGAGATTTTGAAAAATAGTTGGCCTACTTCTGATACATGCAAAAACAGGGTGTTTCCCAGAAAACTAGGAACACTGCAGACATTATCAGTTTAATCCAGCGATTCTCAACTCTGACTGCATATTTAGATCCAGCTAGAGAACTCTTAAAACTATTGACGTCAGGGTCCCATTCCAGACAGTTATCAGAATTTCAGGCTATAGGACTTAGGCATCTTACGTTTTAAAAGCTTCCTCACATGATTTTAATGGGCAACCAGCCAGGATTGAGAACCACTGGCCTAACTAAAGAAACACTTATTTAGACCCATGCATAACACATCACCTAATTAAGATTCACAGCAGCCCTGTGAGGTAAGAAAGGGTCAGGTAGAATAACAGTAATCCCATTTTACGGGTAGAGTAGTTGTGGTGGCTGTGAAGTTGCCCAACTTGAAAGTGATGGATCCACATACAGAACCTCTGTCTCCAGGGATTGTTCATCTAGTCTCATTAAGTCATGCTGCCAAACACTAATGGGCTTAATTAAGAGACAGTTAATAGTGCCATTCCTTGCCATCCCTCACTGAGTGGTGCCTTCCCTCCAGTTTGTCTCCATTCATCTCTCTCCGTGTATCTTTTCTTCCTGAATGCAGGAACTAAATAAAAAGAGGACACAGAAGGAGATGGAGCATGCCATGCTGATCCGGCATGACGAGTCCACCCGAGAGCTCGAGTACAGGCAGCTGCACACATTACAGAAACTCCGCATGGATCTGATCCGGCTACAGCACCAGACTGAACTGGAAAACCAGCTGGAGTACAATAAGAGGCGAGAAAGGGAACTGCACAGAAAGCATGTCATGGAACTTCGGCAACAGCCAAAAAACTTAAAGGTGAGAGGAAATTTCCCGATTTATGCTTCAGGACACAGCCAGGTTGGATCAATGGTTCCTACACCTGGATGACTGTCAAGAGTCACCTGGGAAACTTCGTAAAATTACAAATTTCAGGACCCCACAGCTACTGAATCAGAATCTCCAGAGTCTGGGTATAACAGACTCCTAAAGAGATGTTGCAGGGCAATATGATCTCTCCATTTCTTCTTTGTATCCATTATGCAATTTCTCTGACCCCTTCATGACCTTCCCTCTCTAAAATTATAACACATGGACTAATAGCAGTCCATGGTTCTAATCCCAGGAAATGAGGAAGTTACCTGACAGGAATATAGCAGATAAATTATATCAGTCATGCCAGTCAGAATTGGTTGTAGCTACCTTGAGTGCTATTCTATTGAGAAAGACTCTAAAGCCACATGCACACTTAGTAAGGGAAAGTATGATTTATTAGTGACATCTGTCCTGGGCATGGGAATTGGGAGTGATATGCCAGACATTTATTATCCCTGAACTAGAAATACGGAACTCCTTTGGCCTGCACCACCTCCAGAGAATTTTAGCTGGCTGCTAGTTAACAAGCTATACGGACTAAGCCATTGCTATTTGTCAAGGGAGTCACTGTCAGTGTTGACAAAGATACAAGGCCAACTTCAACCGCACTGGCCTTCTTCCTCTCTAGCCAGATCCTAACCTGTCTAATTAGTGATCCTTGTCATCAAAACCCCTCCATGTGTTCATGAAATGTACATGTGACTATCAGGCAACCTGATGGAATGCCTTCTGGGCTTATAATAGTAAACCCCGCCTCATCCTTGCCAAAATGCATATTTGAGGGCTTCCCTGGTGGCGCGGTGGTTGAGAGTCCGCCTGCCGATGCAGGGGACACGGGTTTGTGCCCCGGTCCAGGAAGATCCCACATGCCGCGGAGCAGCTGGGCCCGTGAGCCATGGCCGCCGAGCCTGCGCGTCTGGAGCCTGTGCTCCGCAACGGGAGAGCCCACATCAGTGAGAGGACCGCGTAACAAAAAAAAAAAAAAAAAAAAAAAAGCATATTTGATATTGCTACATGCAAGTAGTGGAAATGAGTTATGATGTAAAGTATAATCCAATGTTGCCCTTTATTGATTTTTCAAGGAAACACAGAGCAGTGAGAGATGGTTCATACATTGCCATCCCCTTTCTTACTTGGAAGTGGAGGAAAACAGTTAAAGGGGGAGGGGGAGGGGCAACAAACAATAGAAGACACTGAAGATTTTGACTAGGAAACCACTGAAATAATGAGCAATCTTTTAACAAACTAAGCTTCATAGTATTCCAGAGTCTCCTTAGAGTTGTGATCTTGTAACAATTCATTTTTAAAAATCTATTTGTAAATTCAAAACTACTTCTGTTCATTTGATATAAAACCAAAGTATTTTAGGGAGGGTGGGAGGGAGGGAGACGCAAGAGGGAAGAGATATGGGAACACACGTATATGTATAACTGATTCACTTTGGTATAAAGCAGAAACTAACACACCACTGTAAAGCAATTATACTCCAATAAAAAACAAAACAAAACAAAAAACAAACAAAAAACAAAACAAAACAAACAAAAAAAAACCAAAGTATTGGTAGAGTTAACACCTGTCTGTGACACATGTATTATTTTCATTATTACTGACTAGTAATGTGGGTCACTGCACCAAAAGACAGTTGGTCTCAGCACCTGTATTGTATCATGAGAATGGAAGGCTTTCTGTATTTACTAATGTGTCTTTATTTTCCTTTTGTCACTTTTTCTATACAGGCCATGGAAATGCAAATTAAAAAACAGTTTCAGGACACTTGCAAAGTACAGACCAAACAGTATAAAGCACTCAAGAATCACCAGTTGGAAGTTACTCCAAAGAATGAGCACAAAACAATCTTAAAGACACTGAAAGATGAGCAGACGAGAAAACTTGCCATTTTGGCAGAGCAGTATGAACAGAGTATAAATGAAATGATGGCCTCTCAAGCGGTAAGTGGTTAGGTTTGGTGCCACGGCTTCAAGAGCTTTGGGAATCAAGAAAATTCAAGATCCAGCCTTTTGGTCCCAAGATGATTCTTGCGCACATTTAGGATATTGGTGTTTTTCTGCCCAAAGAACTGAAGGAAATGACGACGCTGAATAAAGCCAAGCCAGAGCGGATACTTGCTGGAGTGTGTCTTATAAGATGGAACTTGAGGAATAACATGCTAAATCAGACCTGTGGCACATAGGGACTTTGAGGGCAAGATGTGATAGATATTGCATGTAATATCATACTCTCATTCATCAAAGATCGCACAACTAATGTCAGGCGCAAATGAATAGACACACAAGACACATTCATTCAGTAAACTTTTACTAAACATCTGTGCTCAGCCCTCTGCTGGGCTCAGAGATAGAGTGATGAGCTAGAGGGACGACAGTGGTCCCTTTCCTCACACTTCTGTCAGTCAAGTAAGGAGGTCAGATAATTAAGCAATAAAAATAAAACATAAAAGTGCTTTGAAGTGGTAGGTGACAGAGGCTATGGGAGGATGAGTAGGAACAACTAGTCTGGTCTAGGGAATGCTTCCCTGCCAGAGCCAAGAAGCATGAAGGAATTTATTGAAGCAAACAGGTTCCATGGAAAAGGGCCTACACACTTTTCCAAAAGATGGATAGTGTACATTTGGGGACTGAAAGAACTTTGATATGAGCCCAAAGTTCAAGGAGGAGGATTGTGGGAGCCCAAAATGGAGACGTCATAAAGGTCTTGGCAGCCAGGGATGGGAGCTTGCCTGGTAATTCAATGAAGATTTCACAAGGAGATGAATCTTAAAGGATAATAGTTGATCAGACAAGCAGAAATGGAAAAGTTATTCCTGGCAGACAATACAGTATATATGAGGACTCAAAGGCCTAAAAGAGGATGGCACGTTTGAGAAACAATGAGTAGTTGATATGGCAGGAGTATAATGGGCAGCTGGTGGATAGTCAGGGGTCAGAGCCTCAAAAGCTGGGAGTGGGCATTATTCTATCAGCAATAGAGAGCTGCTAAAGCCTGTTTTAAGAAGGAAAGTGACAGGATCAGATGTGTGCTATAGAAAGATACTGGCAGTAATGTGGCAAATGTAGGTAAGGAGACCTGTTAGGAAGCTATTATAATAGTCCAGGAAAAAAAAAAAAAAGTGAAGGCATGAACTAAGAGAGAACATGCTAATGGAAGTGGTGAGAAGGGAGAGAAGGATTTGATAAATATTTAGGAGGTAGAATAGATAGAACTTAGGGACCGATTTGAGAGGTAGGTTTGATAACAGTGGAACAGGTCATAATTTTACCAAGATAGAAAAATGGAAGGAGGGGTGAGTTTGGATGGATGTCTAGAAGATACTTGACTCATTATCTGAGCTCTGTGGGTACCTAGGTAGAGAGGTACAGAGATGGAAATCTGTAGTTCAACAAGGTGTCAGGATTAACATCAAAAAGTTAGTCATTGTTATATGGGGGCAGTTGTAGCTATTCGGAATATCTGAGATCTCCTACGGATAGGAGATAGTATTAAAGAGGAAGAGGACTCAGGACAGAGCTGTGGGCATCAACATTTGAGGGCTGAGTAGAAGGTGGACCAAAGAAGATGAGTAGCCAACAGTATGGAAGGGGAACCAAAGAGCGTATGTCACAGAAGCCAGAACAAAAGTTTCTAGTTGATGATTTCACATGTTGCAGAGAAACCGTTTGGGCCCAGCAGTAGCTTTGTCCATTGTTTGTCACAGACAGTGGAGTGGTGGAAATGGAAGACATTCTAAGTAGATTGAAAAAGTGATTATAAAGTGAGATAGAAACTGTAAGTGAGACTGCTTTCCCCAGATTCTTGCCAGTGAAAAAAAGGAGAAAGAGAGCTATAGCTAGAGGAAGAGACAGTTAAAAGAGGTCTTCGATTCATTGGGAAAGGCTTAAACATGTCCTTAGCTGAGGATCGGAGCCAGTGTATTTCATTCATTCATCCAATAAGTATTTATTGAGTGCCTCTACTGTGCCCCAGGCACCCAAGAATACTGTGGTGAATAAGACAGTCATCGATCATGTCCTCATGGAATCTGTAGAAGAGTGGAGGAAACAGACGTTGGAGAAGTCTATGTGTAACAGCAGAGCAAGGGCAGTGTGCCCACTGAGTGTAAACCAAGAGAGCTAGCCTGGTCTGGAGAGCCAGGAAAGGCCTCTCAGACACAATGATTATTTAAGCTGCAGTGTAGGGAGCACATTCTAGGCAAAAGGAACTACATTTGTAAAGATGGGAAAGACCATTGCACTTTTAAAGAACTCAGTCCCATTGTGTTTGGAATATAGAGAACGAGGAGGAAACTAACGTGAGAATAAGATGAGAGGGGTAAACGGGCACAAGATCATACAGGGTTTTGTAAGCCTTCTTAAGAATTTTGATCTTTATCCTAAAGGCAGTGAGAAGCCATTGAAGAGCATTAAGGCGGAGACTGACATCAGATTTGCATTTTTGAGTGATCACTCTGGAGACACGTGGAGAATGGCCTGGGAGATGACAAGCGTGGGTGTGAGGCGATCATAAGGTTGCTGCCTTTACCTGGGTGTGAGGGAGTGGTGGCCAGACTCGAGAGGGGACAGTCAGGATGAAGCAGAAAGTGACTCAGTTTGAGAGCTAGGCAGGAGGTGGAACTAGGGGCATTTAGTAACAAGACTGAACGGGAGAGTGAGATGGTGAGGATGACTCCCAGTCTCTAGTTTGAGCAAAATGGTAGATGGTGCCATTTATCTATATGGTAAAAAAGGAATTGGAGATTGGGAAAGTGGGAGATATGATTAGTTAATATTAATCATTGTTGAGCTTGAGGCTGGGAAATATCCAGATGCAGATACCTCGTGTAGAGTGGATAAGCTAGCCTGGACCTCAGAAGCGAAGTCTGAAATAGAGGTGTAGATGTGGGAGTCCTTTGCATAAAGATGGTAATTGAAGCCTTTGGAGTAGAGGAGGTTCCTTAGGAAGGGCAGTTAGAGGGAGAAGAGTGCCGGGACCAAGCCCTGAGGCGCACCCACGTGCCACGGCCCAGGAAGGTAGGGAGCAGCTGGAAAGGAGGGGGGGAAGCGAAGGGTGTGGTGCCTCAGAAAACAAGAGAGTCCCGGAAGGAAGGGGCAGTCCACAATATCAGAGGTCGCTGGGAGGACAGGCAAGATAAGGACCCCTCCAGGGTGGTCATCAGTGACCCTCCTGTGAGCAATAGAAGGGGAGGTGTAGGAACAGAATGAGGAGTGCAGACAGGGGTCAAAGGTAAGGAGAAGGGGAGAGAGTTGGTAGGGACATAAAGGTTGATGGGATTTGGGTTTTGTTCATGTTTGTATTCTCAGCATCTGCTGCAATGCCCGGCATACAACAGGTGCTCAATGAATGTTTGTTATATAAGATGCGAGAGAACAGGATCAGGAGTATAGGTTCATGATTGCTCTTGAATAAAAGGAAAGAAATAACCCTTCCTTCTGAGGCAGGGAGGAGAGAAAAGTACAGGTGATAATTACGGCAGTCCTCTACTGCCCGCTTGCCACGTGCCAGGCGCTGTTGAATTTTATAAGTGTTATTTCATTTTTGTGAAACCTCTTCGACCTTTGAAGCAGTTACTTTTTTTTTTTTTTTTTTTTTTTTTTTTTTTGTGCGGTACGCGGGCCTCTCACTGCTGTGGCCTCTCCCGTTGCGGAGCACAGGCTCCGGACGTACAGGCTCAGCAGCCACGGCTCACGGGCCCAGCCGCTCCGCGGCATGTGGGATCTTCCCGGACCGGGGCACGAACCTGTGTCCCCTGCATCGGCAGGCGGACTCTCAACCACTGCGCCACCAGGGAAGCCCTGAAGTAGTTACTTTTTTAACCCTAATTCACCTGTGAGGAAACTGAGGTTTATTGAAGTCAAGTCACTTGTTTAGGGCAAGGGTTAGCAAACTTTTTCTGTAAAGGGGCAGGTGGTAAATATTTTAGGCTTTGCGGACCAACAGAGTCTCTGTCACAACTACTCAACTCAGCTATTGTAGTACAAAAGCAGTCATAGATAATATATAAATGAATGAGCGTGTCTGTGTTCCAGGAAAACTTCATTTACAGAAATAGGCAGCAAGCCAGATTTGACTCTTGGTCCATGGTGTACCAACGCTTGACTTAGAGGGATCACTTAGTGGTACGTAGCTAGTGGTGGACCTACGATTTGAACCCTGTTTGGGGAGACCCTGTAAGCCTATATGCCTGGCCACTACTACATTATGCTGCTTCTGTCCCATCCTTTTCTTGAGTTTAATCCAGTAGAGGGAACAGACATGATATTTACCTATACTTTTTTTTTTTTTTTTTTTTTTTTTTGGGGTTATCAAATATGGACTTTTTTTTTTTTTTTTTTTAACATCTTTATTGGGGTATAATTGCTTTATACCTATACTTTTATAAAACTTTTTAATGGATTTGGTATGTGCAGCTTTGGGGGGTGATGAATACCAAATACTGGAATATTCCCTGATTTCTAGACTGGCACTTCTTTAGAGTCAGAGCTGGTACAGAATAACACAGTTACTGACATTAATAATAGAATGCCAGAAATAAGAGAAGATGGGGGTGTTTTCAGTGGTCTAAATTGCCTGTAGAATGAGCCTCTCACCCACTTGGCCAGGGCTCATAACAATTAACCAAGCCAAGTAGAAAAGAATAGACTTTCATTCCCTTTATTGGTAAGAAACCTCCCATATCAAGAGGGAATCGATAACAATCTCCTTGGGAGCCAGTAATCCCTTTGGCATTTATCTGTGAAGCTGTTGCTGCTGCAGACTGGCTGTTCATTGTGTCTAGTGTCTCTTCTCCCTTCACCTCTCATTGGGAAATGAGAAGAGCAGCATCCTCTCTAGTGGATTTTAGTGAAAGCTGGTTAGGGTTAATTATTAGAAAGTACCTTGGAAATATGATTCCATTATTTATTTTGTGTTCATTTGACATAGTATATTTCTCCAAAGCACTAAAGAAGACACTATGCAAATAACTTTCTAAAACTATTCTAATAACATTTCAAAAAGTCATAACTATCGAGATATTAAGAAATGTTATTAATTGTCACAAATTGTACAGAAGAGGGAAGGCAGCCTAAGGTGGAGAATAGGTATCTTGGCAAAGTTGTCTCAATGGAAACATGCAGATATACTCAGGGTAGACAGACTAATTCAAGGGTTCTAATCTCATAGTTCCCAGCTGAACTGAGGGCCTGCTAAATCTAGACCAAACCCAGTCTGGTGGGACAGGAGGGTCTTCATCCGTGAGCACAGTCCTGCTAATGGCCCTAAATCTTCAACTGTGCTCATTGAAAGGCTGGCGTTTATGCTGGCTGGCTTGGTCCATTCCCCACACAGGATCAGTATCCTGGTGTGTAATACAAAGTACAGGTGCTAAAGGGAGCAAGGGAAAAACTTTATCTGGATTTCACTGCTTCAAACCAGAATACGCCCCGTAAGATTATCAAGGCTACCTCCTGTGGGGAAGAAATTTTGAACCACTTGAGTTTTAGATGGCTGGCCATAAGGATAAAGTATAGCCAATATTATAGGGACCAACTTTACTTGCTAGGAGCGTAATGGTACTGTGGTATTCCTCAAATGTTATGGAGATTGGACTCATTTTTTTTTAGCGCTAGGGATATATAAATGTATAATGGTTTGGGGGTTAAAGATATCTAAATATGGAAATGGTTAGTCAAAATAATGATAACACTGGCTATTTACTGACCCTTTGGTATACATCAAGAACTATGCCTGGGGTTTTATATGAATTCTTTCATTTAATTCTCATACCAGTCTTAGACAATATTACTGTCAATATTACTATTACTGTTATTTTCTTGAGATGAAGAAAATGAGACTTGGAGATGTTAAGTAACTTGCCAAGGTAACACACCTAAGTGAATGGTGGGGCTGGAATTCCAGCTCAGGAGTCTGCCTCCAAAGCCCACAGGCTTAATTACTGGAGTGTGGAGCCTTCCTGACTCCTGCTAGTGTGGTTTTAAGAAAACCAGGTTTCCTTAAGAATGTTTTTGTTTTCTTAAGAAAGAATGTTTTAAGAAAAGGAAGTGTTTTTAGAACTTTGTAGCCCATTGGGCAGAATGTACTATTTTTGATTCCTAACTCTGAAAGTACCCCCCCACCGGGCATCTGTTTTTCTGAGAGACCTGTTTCAGCCCAAACAAGGAAGCATCTTCCAGTAGTCACCAAGTTCTGTAAGCTAGGAGCGAATCACAGTGTATGTCTTCTGTACCCGCAGTTACGGCTAGATGAGGCTCAAGAAGCAGAATGCCAGGCCTTGAGGCTACAGCTCCAGCAAGAAATGGAGCTGCTCAATGCCTACCAGAGCAAAATCAAGATGCAGACAGAGGCACAACATGAACGTGAGCTCCAGAAGCTAGAGCAGAGGGTGTCTCTGCGCAGAGCACATCTTGAGCAGAAGGTATGAGCGTGTTGTCAAGGGTCCTGTACCGCTGGGTAGAGGACGGGCGTGGCTCTGCCTGTGTACCGGGCGATTTAACAAAGGCGCTGTTCCCCTCATACCTGCTTTGATACTCCTAGTGCCCTGAGAGGTAGGCATAGTCCCCATTCCACAGGCAGGACACTGAGGCTCAAAAGTCTTAATTAAGTTACTTGCATAAATCTGATCCCACAGCCTAAGTTCTCTCTATTATATTACTCTGCTCGGAAACCTTCCACCTTCACAGCCTGAGGACTGACACGGGTTACTGGGTAGTTGATTTGACGTATGAAAGGTACTGTGAGTTGATAGCGTGGCCCCTAAATGTCGTGAGGCCAAATACAGATTTGGTTTTTATTCTCAGCTATTTCTAAACCAAAAGAAATCACCAGCAGGGCTCTTCAAAAAAATTAAAATGAAGAGAGGCTGATATTGCCCTACATGATAAATGTTATCAGAACTGAAATATTCATTGCTTTAGATATTGCTGAGGAATGTGAAGTAGAAAAGATGTCATAAAGCATCTCAGAGCTGTTAAGCATGTATTTGCTTAACCAGTTATTCGTGCTTTCTTCTGGTAGTTCCCAGAGATCAACGTGAGAGACTATTTTCCTGCTCTAGAACTAAATTGCTAATGACCCAGGGGGCTTTGGGCTCTCTCTGGGAAAGCAGCACAACTTAATTGTGCTTGAGTGTCTTTTAGCTTCTCCCGAGCCATCTCCTGCTGAGACAGGACAGTGACCTAGATCGGCCCAGCTGCTTGGCTTGCCAGAATGGCAGTGCTGGCCCCAGGTGGCCCCAAACATTTTTATTCTTGTGAGAAAGTTTTAAATGTGATGGATTAGACACACAACATTTATCACAGGACTCTCCCAGCCTGCCCCAGACTAGTTTACTCTTAGTTCCTGCGTGTGTCATCTGTGTGCATGTTATGTGTGTATATATGCCTGTTGGGAACTTCTTTCCATTAAGAACTGTTCATTGTGCTTATTTCAGATTGAAGAAGAGCTGGCTGCCCTTCAGAAGGAACGCAGCGAGAGAATAAAGTACCTATTGGAAAGGCAAGAGCGAGAGATTGAAACTTTTGACATGGAGAGCCTCAGAATGGGATTTGGGAATTTGGTTACATTAGATTTTCCTAAGGAGGACTATAGATGAGATTAAATTTTTTTGCCATTTACAAAAAAAAAAAAAAGAAAGAAAGAAAGAAAACAAAAAAATTCAGACCCTGCAAAACCACATTCCCCATTTTAACGGGCGTTGCTCTCACTCTCTCTCTCTCTCTTACTCTTACTGACATCGTGTCGGACTAGTGCCTGTTTATTCTTACTCCATCAGGGGCCCCCTTCCTCCCCCCTCCCGTGTCAATTTTCAGTGCTGGCTGAAACCTGGCCATCTCTTCTATTCATAGTACACGTCACAGTATCGATGTGATTCAAAATGTTTCAGTGAAAACTTTGGAGACAGTTTTAACAAAACCAGTAAACCACCAACAACAAAAAAGTGGATGTATATTGCTTTAAGCAATCACTCATTACCACCAATCTGTGAAAGTAAAGCAAAAAATAATAATAATAATAATAATAATAATAAATGCCAAGGGGGAGAGAGACACAATATCCGCAGCCTTACACCTTAACTAGCTGCTGCATTATTTTATTTTATTTTATTTTTTTGGTATTTATTCATCAGGAATTAAAAAAAAACAAAGTTTTATTAAAGATTGAAAATTTGATACATTTTACAGAAACTAATTGTGATGTACATATCAGTGGTGACATATTAATACTTTTTTGGGGAATGGGGGGTGGGTGGGGTGAAGAGATCTTGTGATTTTTAAGAACCTGCTGGCAAGAGTTTAACTTGTCTTGAGCATATTCTGATTGTATCATAATCATTTTCTGCTGTTGCAGAGGATGTGAATACACTTAAGGAGCTCACAGAATCCCAGTAGCACAAATTGGGCTTTGGCAAATCGTGTATTTTGTGTATAGAAGGAATTTAAGGAGAGGTATTACTTATTTTCATATTGTATTTTAACTGTTTCTCTGATCAAATTTTTTTACTCCCTCCTCCCAGTCCTCCCCGCCTCCCTCCTTTTCCAATTCAGTATTTGGAGTTCAACACTGTCTCTCAATCAGATCATCTTGATCTTTTTTCTTTATTTCCCTGCCCCTCCCTAAGTCCCATATCTTGGTCATAAATATTGCATTATTCACACTTTCAAACTGTGTATTTTCTTACAATAAAAAATGATGAAAAAAAAAAGGCTTTACTTCTTTTGCATGCACTTTAAAAAACAAAACATTTTTCAGGTTCCAAGGAAGAGCATGATAACTGTCAGAGCTTTTAATTATATTTGTAAATAAAAGTGTTCATCACATTGCCTTGCTGTGTTATTGTAGCAGGAAGTTTCCCTTCTAGGTTCATCAGCTCCTAATGCAGAGGGAGAGCTGCCCTCCAGAAGCTGTCCTCCATGGCCCCTCAAGAAGAACCATTCAAGATTTTCAGGTAAAGCCATGTCTTCCAAGTTCTTCTGCAGGGCTGAAGACGGGGTTGCACTGTCTGAAGTGGTCACCTGCACCTTTTTACCCTTAAGAATAGAAGAAGGCACATGTGTGCACGTGCACGTGCACACACACACTGTGCACACACGTGCACCCACAATGTGCCAGTCCTAGGACCATGTATTGCTGAGAGAAGTGAGGCACCTTAAAGAAAAGCAGGCTATGAAGAAGACATTATAACCAAATATTTGAAATGATCCTACTGTAATAGTAGATTCCCCCACCCCTCATAGTCAGCTTTTATTAGAATAACTTTATGTACATGACAATGAGGTAGTAAAATCTGTAACTTCTAGGAAACGGTTTTGGGGTCAAGACAATCTCAGTAAGATCTCATTCTCTTAGGGTTCTGAGTCCTAGTCATTGAAAATTGATCCTAGCATGATGACTTGAAGATCACAGTTGAATTCTACAGGATATTCAGTCATCACAGACAAATGTGATGAGTCGTGTTCACTGTGATAGACTAACCCAGAGAGGTATAGTCCAGAACCCACAAAATGATTATCGACATGGGCTGACCCCAACTGTAAAGGCTTTAATAGTTAACACCCAGTTTCCTGAGCAGCATAGGTCACTAAAGTTTCCAGATTAGGTACATCAGAAAGTAATATTGGAAAGGGCTGGACTCGTAAATATCCACGAAAAATAGATAACCTTTATTGCATCATGCTTACCATGTGATAGAACTCTACACTAAGCATTTTGTAGATGAGGAAATAAGCTCAGACCAGGGTAAATGGAGTGGAGTCTGAATCGAGACCTGTCCAATTTCTGAACCCACACACCTAAGAACAGTCACACTGCCACTCAAAAGGACATTAAATCATCAGTAAGAAAAACTTTTTGTAGTTTATTTCATCCATTTCTGTCTGTAGTGAAAACTGTCTAGCTAGCTTGTGTAAAGGCCTTATGTTTGTGAGATTATAGGTGCTGATCTTTATAAAAGTTCCCTCTCCACAAGTTTGTCAGTGATGTGTCCAAGGTAGAGTTATCAGAAGGAATGTGGGTCTGTGCTCCTGACACCTGGTACAGACTAAGTCTTCCAACTCCTTCTAGTACCTGAGGCAGTGAGAATAAACAGGAACCAGAATAGTAGCAAGAGAACAGGTATAAAAGAAGTACTGGGACAGGAGCAGGGAGCCGTTGTCTGGTATTATTCCAGCATATACAAAACTCCCCTGAGTTAAAAGAATTGTTATAGGTTTGTCATAAATATTATAATGGCTGCTTACCTTTGATTTGCAACTATTCATTCAATGAATATTTACTGCGTACTTTATATGTCAGGTACAATGCCAGATGCTTAAGCTCTGTCAAGTGTATCTCAAACAGGTAAAGATCCTCACCCTAATGGAGCTTAAATTAGAGGTAAGAGGAAAATGGTAACACATAATAATTATAATTTTAAATGATCTTACATGGTAATAAGTGCTATAGATAAAGGAAAAAGGAAAGAGTAAGGGGGGTCAGAAGTGCGAGGAACGGCATACATTCAGCTCAGCTCATTCATTCAGGAAATATTTATTGAGCATCTATTGTGTCTGGGGATGTAGTAGCAAGTAAGATGGATAGGGTCACTACTCTGCTGAAACTCATGGTTTAAATCTCCACTGAAAGAAGTAACTAAGCAGTGGACTAATTTAATCAACAGTGGGCAAAGACAAGCCATTACAATGCAAATGCTGGGTACGGACCAGGAGTTTAAAGGAACTGAAACAATTACAGTCATAGGGAATATCAGAGAATACTTACCAGTGATGTCTAATTAACAGCAAAAATTTACTTACTGAATTTACCACTGACTGTAAATATTTGATTAAATATTGAAAAAAGTATTCCTGGGCAGCTGGAAACGTGCCCACGTAAGAATTCGGTATACCTCTCTGATTTTAATTTAGCAATAAATTTTGCCATAGAAATGATAAAACATAAAAAAAATGTTTTGTTGTTCTAGTTTCGCATAGCTGTGTGCTTTTCCTGCTGATTACAACTAAAAAGTAGACAAGAATGCAAAAGCAACTATCTGAGGATACTGAGAAATAAAAGCAGGTGGATTGTGGAGAAGCAACCTAGACAGAGGAATGAAGGCAAAATAAAACCATTCTCAGATGAAGAAAAATTAAGAGAATTCATTGCCACCAGACCTAATGTACAAGAAATGCTAAAGGAAGTTCCTCATACTGAAGGGAAATGATACTTGAAGGAAACTTGGATCTCTGGGAATGAAGGAAGAGCAACAAATGGTAAATATCTAGATAAATATAAAAAAGTTTTACCTCTTATAGTCTTTAAAATACATTGAAATATATACATATATATATGTGTATATATATATATGTACACTTTGTTGAAAGCAATAAATATTGTCTGGGGAAGGTTTCACTGTATGTAAATACAATCCATATGACAATTATAACTTAAAGGTTGGGGATTAAAGGACCCATATGGTTGCCATGCTTCTGCATTTTACATGAAATGATATAATTCTTATTTTAAGCAGACCATGAAAAATTAGTTATGTATATTTTTAACTCCTAGAACAACTTGCCAAAAAGAAAATGCAAAGAAGTAATAGCCAAAAATCTAGGTCATGAATTAAAATATTCAAATAATCCAAAAGAAGGCAGTAAAGGGAGAACAGAGATACAAAGAAAAAGAGGGACAAACAGAAAACAAAATGGTAGACCTAAATCCCACCATATCAATAATTACATTAAAAATTTACAGAGTGGATAAAAAAAAAGGACTATACACTGCCTATGAGAGACAGACTAAATATAAAGACACATAAGTTGAAAGTACAGTCATCCCTCGGTATCTACAAGGCATTGGTTCCAGGACCCCTGTAGATACCGAAACCCATGAATGCTCAAGTCCCTTATATAAAATAGTGTAGTATTGGCATACAACCACACATCTACCCATATACTTTTTGTTTTTAACATCTTTATTGGAGTATAATTGCCCCACAATGCCGTGCCAGTCTCCGCTGCACAACAAAGTGAATCGGCCACCTGTATACATATATCCCCTCCCTCTTGCATCTCCCTCCCACCCTCCCTATCCCACCCCTCTAGGTGGTCACAAAGCACCGAGCTGATCTCCCTGTGCTATGCGGCTGCTTCCCACTAGTTATCTGTTTTACATTTGGTAGTGTATATATGTCAGTGCTGCTCTCTCACTTTGTCCCTATCCATATACTTTGAATCATTTCTAGATCACTTCTAATACCTAATACAATGTAAATGCTGGTATCAGCACATGGCAAATTCAAGTTATCAGCACATGGCAAATTCAAGTTTTGCTTCTTGGAACTTTATGGAATTTTTTTAAAAGTATTTTCAACCTGCAGTTGGTTGAATCTGCATATGCAGAACCCACAGAAATGGAGGGCTGACTGTAAATGGATGGAAAAAGTGCCATGCAAATAGTAAAGCATAAGAACGCTGGAGTGCTATTTTATTTATTTGGCTATGTCAGGTCTTCATTGCGTGCGGGCTTCTCTCTCGTTGTGGCGCACGGGCTCCAGGGCACATGGGCTCTGTAGTTGTGGTGCGCAGGCTCCAGAGCACATGGGCTCTGTTTTGTGGCACGTGGGCTCTCTCACTGAG